GAATTAGCTAACCATAATTATTTATCCCCAGAAAAAAAAATAAATGGAAACAATAATCTCGAAATGGGATTAATTGTGCAGAGCAATTTTAAAGTCTACCTCTACACAAATTCAACATTGAAAATAAATATTCTCAGTCATTTATGTGAATTACAGGCAAGGACCCCAAACATGGTAGTAGGTATTTTAACCAGAAGGAGTGTGCTAAATGCATATAACTCAGACATCACTGCAAATCAAATTATTAAATTTTTGGAGTCCTATGCTCACCCAGGCAAAAGCAATTTTAAAAGCTCCATACCTGTTAATGTTATTACCCAATTGAAACTGTGGGAATCGGAACGACATAGATTAACACTTGACGATGCCATCGTCTTTAAGTCTTTTGAAAAAGAATTCCTCCCTCACCTGTATCAGCAAATCGTGGTCTGGGCTAATAGTAAAAATTACCTATTGCATTATACACCCTGGCCAAAAAATGCCAACTCCCCAGAATTCGACGCTTGGATGAAGTCGGAAAAGTACCTCTGCTGCATTTACGATTCCAAAAATGAAATCATCGATAAGATTAAGGAGATTAGGGAGAAACTCATGAAGAAGCGCCAAAACGCATAGACCCCAATGGGGCGCATATAATAAGAACAGGAAGAAGTTGGAGAAGAGCACATTTACCACACTGCTCCTTTTTTTTAAAATGCCCCAAAGGGGAAAAAGTACAAAATTAATTTCCATTTCGGCACAATTACAATGACGTGAATATGTAACTTGTGTACACAGCAGGAGTGGTTGTTAATGGTGTCATCATACGGTTCGCAAGATGCCCCTTTGTCTCAGGGGAGACGACAAAAAAGGGCAGCATCATTTCATTATGTGCATATATTTATGGAACATGCTTAGGGAAATATGGGGGCGTTAACACTTTTCCCCCTATGCACCACGCACTGTGAGGAGATGTACACGCTTTTTTTTTTTTTTTGAAAGCTGGTATGTTTAACCAGAACATGCTGTGCGCTTTATATGAATTTTCGCCACAAAAAGGTACATGATATAAGCGCAGGACATGCAGGGGCCCATAAAATTTCTCCCCCCTCTTCTTCATATATTTTTTTTTTTTTTTTCTGTTATTCAACTTTTTCTATTTCTTGATTGATTGTTTTTACCATGTCTATTGAACGCGCCAAGTCGCATGCGATATGTTCTTCTCCTTTTTTTTGTTACTCGTTGTCGGGCTCACTGGAATGCCGTTGCTAGCGGGAACGCTTCCCTACAGCAGGTCTGGTGGTGGAAGGGAAGAAGGGGGAACAAAAAATGACTTACAAATTTGCACGCATACGGTTTGCAAACAGGAGCTCTAATTTTGTGCATCACATCCCACCGTATCGAATCATTTCGCACCGCGCATTAGTGGGACAAAATGGTGGGGGGGAACAAAAAAAGGAGGTTACCTTGAAGTGGTCCAACAGGGGAACTAACTCTACATGCATTCCTTGCCATTTAATTAAAAATCGGAGAAATTTAAAACACCTCGTTAGTTTATTCTTCTTGGGGTCGATGTTGTCTTTTTCCAAAAGCCCCTTGTCTACCTTTTCGCCACAATCCAAGTACATTTCTAAGGCTACAACAATGTTCAGGAAAAAAAGTACACACATGTGAAGAATGTTATATGTGCACATAACCAAGCTGAGCTTCCCCCTCCACACACGAGGAATGGATAAAAGGAATGTAGACGGGCGGGGCCACATATGTTTTATTCAGCCAATCGGACAGCACGACCAGAATGACAACCTACCTGATTGGTAATAACGCAAGTCACCCTTCTTATGCTTGTTAAAAAATTTTACAAAATCTTCAATATATTGTGTCCTAACTTTTTTTAACAATTCACTACTGTACTCACAATGATTCAATCCCAACAGGTCATTTAGCTTGCTTGTAATTTCTTTTCTCGATTCCTCGCTAGCACTATCCAAACGGACTGCAAAGTGGGATAAAAAAAAAAAAGGCCATTTTGTTAAGGGCTTAAAAGTGCACAAATCTGCTTTCTCGGTGAAGTCAACCGTTTCCGGTGATGCACTTTTCCCCCCTTTTTTTTTTTTTTTTTTTTTTTTTTTTTCTGCGTGGCACAGTAAACATGGAATAAAAAAAAACACAAAAGACCCATAAAACAGGAGATATACTAACCTGTACACAAATAGTACGAAATGCATGGGCCAAATTTATAGTTGTAATTATGGTGCGGAAATATGGACTTCATCGTTAGAAGGGTGTCGATCATGAGTGCGTAGTCTTTGCCTGCGTAAAAAAAAAAAAAAGGGGTTCGAAATTAGTAACATGTGCGCACATGTACGTTTTTCCCTGTTTGGGGGGGATAACAAAGGACATGTTACACGTGTCATACACACAACGTAGAAAATGACTGCCCACGAGAAAGAGGACTCATAAAAAATCATACGCATCTGAACGACCAATTGGAAATAGTGTGTGTCCTTACCAGGTGATCTCCTCTCAATATCGAATTTCAATTTGTACACAGATAAATCCACATTTGGCTGGGACAGAAACGTTTTCATATACATCATAGCATTTTCCAAAGGATCATTTTTTATATGTTCATAAATATCACTTTCCTCTTGGGTAGCTACACTAGGTTTAGTCTTTTTTTTACTCTTTTTATTCATGTCATTTTTTTTTAATAAGCCACAATCGTGTATGTGTAATAACGCCTTAATTAACGCCTTTCCAAATTTGCGGTAAAATCTGGAAGCAAATATTTCACTCGTCAGGAAGAGCAAATGCCTGTAGGATCTGTAGAGCATTTTCCTGATGGTGTAATAGTAGAAGCAGATTTGGTCTTCATGGATGTCTATGAATTGCTTGTGGCCCATGTGCAGGTAGTGTAGTCCTCTGCTGTAGTCGTTAAATTCGTTTCTGCCTAACATGTCGTTGTCCACCAGGATGCTTTTGTGCAGCTTCAGTTTTGGCTTCTCACTGCTTGGGTTCTCCTTGGAACCATTTATAGCTTCTTCCCCTTTGTTTAACCCGTTCACTAGGTTTTCCCCTCCTTCTTGACTTCCCTCCTCTTCAACATCACCAAAGTCGTACAATTTGTCCGGGCCCAAAGTGAGGTACTTTCCCAAGTGGATGTTCGGGTGGTTGTTGATGTAGCTTTGTGAGATGCTGTACTCCAACCAGAAGCACTGCGTTTCGTTAATGTTCTTCATGAAATTGTTATCCAATGGGTTCGTGAAGATCGAGGCCATTTTCTTTGCATCCTTTATAAGCCCACATTTCAAACAAGTTTTAACCGTCTTGGAGTTTATGTACCTGTCCCCAATATTTGCTAATCTGCATTCTTCCAAATGCCTATAGGCTTGTAGGTAATTTCCGTTTCGCTTGTAAATTAACCCTTTTATAAAAAGTAATTCTTGTTTAAGTGACTCGTTTGCTTTAAAGGTCATTTTGTTTGACCTGTCCTTGAGAAGAGTTAGCGATTCCTTCGCGCAGTTTATGTAGTCATACAACTGACTAATGAAAGAGTAAATGCACAAAATGAAGTATTCCTTTCTTTCCTCCTCTGTTAGGGTCACTTTTTTTAAGTCCAGTTTTATTTCTTTTTTTTCTTTCCCTTCATTGGTGCCTTTTTTCCCACTACCTTTTTCGTTTCCTTTTTTTCCATTTTGGTCTTTTTTGCCCGGCTTCTCTGCTCCTGCTCCTACCCCAAGAGGAGTAGCCATTCCAATGATGTTTTTCATTTCTTCCGTCTCGTCTAGGAAGCTGTCCACATGTTTTTTTTCGCTGCTTATTTGTGGGGTCTCTTCCCCATTGGTGCTTTTTTCCAAGTGAATCTTGTCGTCACTGGTGAGGAGATCTCCATTTATAGCCTCGCCATTTATATGATTCTCCTCATGGTTTTGCTCAGGCATGAATTCTCGCTTTTCAAAAGGGGCCTCCTTGGTCCATCCTTGGGCCTCCTTCTGAAGCGACTCTTCACCTGCTTGACCCATGTCTACCCCCAAGCAGTCGTGGCACCCTCCGATCTCGCCACAAGCAGGGCCACAGTCAAAGGATGGAATGTCCCCCACGCGCTCATAATTTTCAATATATTTGTTCAGCAAGAAAAGAAGTATTCTTAAATTTTTATAAGTAAAGAAAGGCCTAAAATAGCTGAAAATGGTTAAGCACTTTTGAAAGCATAAACTGCGAAGTAATTTTTCCACGTGAAAGGCAAATTTTTTCTCATTGTAAAAGTAAAGGGGAAATATTTTTAACAAATTTGAATGCTTATATTTTTTTTGTAAATTTTTAAAATAATTTTCAAAGCAATTTTCCTCTTCCTCGTTAAAATTTTTTATTTTGTAAAAATGGATCATATTCATGCATTTTTCAAATTTCTTCTTATAGCTATATTGTATGTCCACACCCAATTTTTCTGACCAGTGAATAATGTTATACGAGGACACATCGTCCCCCTTGCTGATGTTGCTCATTTCCTTGTGGACACTTTTCCTCATCGAGTTAATATATTCTTCAATATTGTGTACATGTAAATTTTCTTTAAAATGTTCCTTGTCGACCAAATTTATATTAACAAAATTGTTGAATTCAGAAAGGGTGTACACATCATACCTTTTCATTCCCCAATTATGACACACATAATCATTGAAGATGTTTTTCTCCTTCCTGGCCAGCAACTTCATATTTCTGTTCGACCCATATATGTCTAAAATGAATTCGTGTAGCAACACCTTCACATTTTCATCAACATTCACCTGTTCATCCATTTTGTGCTCATTTTTGTAATCGAGGAAGAACAAGCTGGAGAGTGTTCTACCTTGCTTCGACTCCTCCTCTGCCTCTCCATTCCTTACCCCCCCATCAAGTGTGCACGTCCTTTCCGTGTACAAAATCAACAAAAGGATATTTAAATTTTCATAATTCAGTTCAAAGGCCTTCCTAAAATGTAAATTGGCCTCCTCAAAATTATCCTGAAATAGGTACACCAAACCGAGGATTTTGTTATACCACAATTTGTCCACTAGCTGTTCCTCATGTTTCTTCAATAATTTTAGGCACTCTGTGTAAAGCTTCCCTTCCAACATGATTTCACACATGTAGATTAACAGATCGTGTTTTTCACTAGGACTCAAATCGTTTCCCTTTATTGGGTTCTGGCTACCACTTCCTTTGGTGGCTAACTCATCCTGCACCTGATTAATTATAATGGAGCATTTCTCATACTGCTTCAGGAGATGAAACGAAAAAATTAACATGGCCTTATCTCTTACCCCCTTGACGGTATCTTTATACACATCTATCCTCAAATCCTTGAACTCTTCATACCTTCCTAAGTATAGCAGAAGGACACATGCCTCCTTCAAAGCTTTGTAGTCGTAACGGTTAAGCTTGAGCGCCTTAAGGTAGCACTTCAAAGCTTCATCATTATTTTTATACATTTTGTAAAGACACCCATACAAGTACCAGCAGAAACTGCTCGATATATTATTTACTATTCCTTCCTTAATAAGCTTAAAGGCTTCCTCTTTGTTTTTTTCATCTATAAGATTTAGCAGGTAACCCTTCACCGCCAGCGTCTCTCCATTTTTAGGATACTTCTTCAGTATCTGCTCGCATATTTTGAATGCCTTTTTGTGCTTCTTCAGTTCTATTAGCTGTGTCATCAGCCGGAAGTTGTTCATCTCCTTGTTCGTTAACTTATTGTCGTCCGCTGCCTCCTTCTTCATTTTGTTCCACGCTCTTTGATTACTCAGTGGGGTGTTCGCCGGGTTGTGGAATCGTCGACTGTCCGCTCGGTTATCCGCTCGCTTTTATGTGGTTGTCTCTCTCCAGATGGGACAGGCGCGGGGGAAAAAATTCAACGCCGGGGGGAGGTACAAATCCTATAACGCCTGGGCACTACAAACGACACGGCGAAATTTGAATCTCCCCTCAGGCAAACACCCCAGTTGTGCTCAAGTCTACCCAACGGACTACTCACACTCCACTTGGGTTGGCAAAAAAAGATATACAAAAATGTGGAGTTATACGCGAACGCATATATACAAGTAACAATATATATACGTGAACTGCTACCCCTCGTGCTACTTGGCTAAATCAGTCGCTCGTAAGGGGGTTCTCTCCTTAAAAGTAAAGGCCAAAGGCAAACGTTTTAAAAGCGGCAGTCTCGCGCGTATCGGCATACAGCTGTTATCTCAAATATATAACTAAACGTATATCGATGTGTAGATGGACGCGCGTGAGCTACCTCCACGTGAACACCGCAGATACATGGCGCCGCTCAAAACAAAAACGTGAATTCGTAACATCCCGGTATTAAAACCGAGTAAACGAACATAACCACATCTGCATTAGCAGAGCAAAGAACAAGGGGACATTATACGATACCAACTAAAGTAAAAAAAAGGTCTCTTTTTGTTCTTTTTTTTTTTCTTCAAAATGTTACTATGAATAAAGAATATCTATATTTCGCTAAAATTAACAACTCCTTCAAAGGTATCAAAATTTTTACATACAATTATATAGCTACAATTATGCCGCTTTTTTTTTTTTTTTTTTTTTTTTTTTTTCCATCAGGAGAAAAGGCACTCTGTTATAGTTTGCCATAGCGTTATGCTAATTCCCAGCTTCCCCCCAAGTTTGTGCATAGCGTAGAGCAGCAGCAAGAGGCGCTACTCCGTTTGTTCTACCCCGCGACTCTGAGGTTGCCCAACTCTGACTCCCTCCCCCGGGAAGGCGCAAAAGTTGGCGACCTCGCACTGAGCAAAAAAAAAAATATTTATTAGCGCTCACACGTGGATTCTATCATCTTTCACGTTCTATTTTTTTTTTTTTTTTTTCATTACATTAAGTAGTTATTCATCCTACCTTTCCATAGTATTATACAGTTTGGTTATCTTTTAACATTACCCCCACGGGTACACACGTATTTACTCCCTGGCGGTACTTTTCCTTTCCTTTCGGTTTTTTTTTTAGGGGTCCCCCCCTACACGCCCGTATCTTATCCTAGCCAATAACATCAAACTGAAGGACATGGATGCAATTAAAAATGGCGCTTCAAAGAGGAACCTACAAAATGGCTCTCGCTTGTTCTTACACCCCGTATGAACACATGCCAATTTATAAATAAATGTCCGTGTCCCACCGAGTGAGATTTCTCTACCCCCCTTGAAATGTCCACGAACTGGTTCTCTTTAGCTGCCATACGAACGGTGTGCTATGTACTTGTGCTAGTCGCTGTTCAGCTCATCGCACCCTGTGGAACATACCGCGTGGATGAAAGACGGCTCTTCTTGGGATGGCCCCACGCTCGGAGGTAATGCAAAAAGGGGCTAATAACCGAACGCACGTGCACCACCACTATCACCCATATGGGGTGGCGTCATGGTGATGTAGGGGACACAGGAGACTGACTGTCCATGTGACTATAGTTGTAGTTGGCGTGGCATACCACTCAGCACGCTAGGGTTGGAAGCGTGTTTTATTTTTTGTTCCCGGTTTCTCTAACACTTCATGTTGTTACGGCCATTACGGCTATTTCTTTCCCTCACCCTGTACAGGTCTGCTGCTCGCGGAAGTGGCCCCCGCGTAAACATGCTCAGCGAAAAATGTAAGTGCAAGGAGTTAGACAAAAACTATGATGTTATAGTTATAGGGGGAGGACACAGTGGCTGCGAGGCCAGCCACATAAGTGCAAAATTGAAAGCGAAAACTTTGCTAATAACTCAGTGTAAGGATAGCATCGGGGAAATGTCCTGCAACCCATCCATTGGAGGAATCGGCAAAGGAATTCTGGTGAAAGAAATTGATGCGCTAGGTGGACTCATGGGGAAAGTCATAGATAAAAGTGGCATACATTTTAAAATATTAAATGTAAGAAAAGGCCTGGCTGTTAGGGGACACAGAGCACAAGCGGATAGGGATCTCTACAACTATCATATGAAGGAGCACATGAATGGTACGAAACATTTGCACATCTTAGAGAGCACAGTGCAGTCCTTGTTAATGGAAAATTTTACAAGTGGTGCTGCCCTCAGTGGAAGGCGCGTCTATGGAGTGAAAAACAAATGCGCGTGTGAATTTTACGCGAACAGTGTGGTCCTCACCACGGGGACGTTTCTGGGAGGCGTGTGTCACATAGGGAAGGAGAAGTACCACGGGGGGAGGATCAAACGGATGTCCAGGGGGGTCCAGTGGCAGGGGGGGACACAAAGGGGGGAAATGTCCCCCAGTGGGGTGAACGCGCCAACGGGTGAAGACGTCACCAGGATGAACGCCCCACGCAAATGTCCGACAGACAAGTGGACCCCCCCCCCTACCGACGGAATGACCTATACCAGCCATGAAAACCTAGAAAAACATAACAGCGCCATTTTTGACCAACTGGTGGAATCGTCCACGCAAAGCATTTCGAACCAGTTGAGGGCAAACCAGTTTGAGATAAAGAGAATGAAAACTGGAACGCCCCCGAGGTTACACATCAACAGCATTGACTTTACCTCTCTGGAAAGGGAAGATAGTGAAACAGAAAACCCATTTTATTTCTCCTTTTTAAACAGTAACAAGGTTAATAGGAACAAAACATTACCTTGCTATAAAACGTACACAAATGAAAGAACCCATGAGTTGGTTAGAACCCATTTGAACCAGCTGCCCGATTTTGACTGCTACGATAAACTGGGCAATGGACCCAGATACTGCCCCTCTATAGCAAAGAAGGTCACAAAATTTGCGGAAAAAAATAAACACATAATCTGGTTAGAGCCAGAAGGATTTCATGATGTACTCATATACCCAAATGGCTTAAGTTCTGCCTTCCCTATACATACACAGAAAGAGATTGTGAACTCCATCAGGGGGTTAGAAAATGCAAAAATTATTTTCCCTGCCTACGATGTGGAATATTATTATGTGAACCCTAAGTGTTTGAATTATACATTAGAGACGAAGAACATCAAGGGTCTTTTTCTCGCTGGACAAATTTGCGGAACAACCGGATATGAGGAAGCAGCTTGTCAGGGTATTGTCGCAGGGATTAATGCAGCAATAGCTGCCCGTAGTACAGCAGATGGGGAGAGGAACGAAGAGCCATTTATTTTGAAGCGAAATGAAAGCTATATAGGGGTTCTCATTCACGATTTAATAAACAAAGGCATAACGGAGCCTTATAGAATGTTTACATCCAGGGCTGAGTACAGACTCTATCTGAGACCAGACAATTGCGACATGAGACTTACACCCATGGCGCATAAATTGGGAATAGTGTCCGACGAGAGGATGTATATACTGAAGCAGAAATATGCCTCCGTCAATAAGCTTATTTGTCTCTTTAAGAAGATACAGCTGAGTGGTGCGCTCGAAGAGGAGAAGAAAACACCCCCAAGTGATTCATGTGATAAAGATGCAGAACATATGTTTGTAAAGAATTCCGTTGAGGCATTCCAGCCTGATGGTAAAAACAATGTTCATCTCGAAGTCACCTCTCGCAAGGGAAACATAAACACCTTATATACAATTTTCAGAAGTGGAGTGGAATACTCTCTACATATTTTACTCAACAAACTACGGGAGGTGCACGATTGGAATAAATTACTGAGTTCAGTTTTGCCTGAACAAAATAATGTCCCCATTTATATGGACAAAATGCAGCAGTGCGGATTATCGCTTGACCAGAGTAGCGACCTACTTCTGAACTCTGCCACGTTGGAAACTGCCTGTGCCGAGGTGAAGTACTCCCCCTACTTGACAAAACAGATTAGAGAGGTGGACAAAATTAGGCACAGCTTTGACTTGGCCATCCCGCCCGAGGTTACCTACGACAGGTAAAGCGGCATTCACACAGCTAAATGTGACTGTACGCATATGGCGCTAGTGTCGCCGCTAAATGTGCCCATGTGCATATCTCAATACCGTCGCAGCTAAATCTGCGCATATGCACATGGCGATACACGATGAACCCCCCCTTCGCAGGCTTAACTTCCCCTACCTGTCCAACGAAGAAATTGAAAAACTGAACAAATTCAGACCGCAGACTTTGCACGAGGCCAACCGAATTGAAGGCGTGACCATGAGCGCCATTTATTATTTGTATTACTACATAAAAGGGGAGAAACATAGGGTTAAAAGATAGGTTGCCTGTTCCACCACGTACTGTCTGTTGGTCCCTTTTTTTTTTTTTTTTTTTTTTTTTTTTGCACAAACCCCCAGTGCCATTTGTTTCGTTGTCTGTGCCATTTCTTCTCCACTTGGCTTCATTTTTTTGTATCATGTTTGCTGCACCATTTGGCTTCATTTTTTTTTTGTATCATTTTTGCTTCGCCATGTCGCCTTATGCTACCATGTGTGCCCATTGTTCCCTCCTAATAAGTCGTCACCCTGGGGAACATCTGCACTATAATACCCACCTGCCGCATGCGTTGCATTTGGGTCGAATTCTTTTTCACATCCTTGTTTTGCTCTTATGCTTATATGGGACTGTTTTTTTTTTTCCCCCTCCCACCCCGGGTGCATAATAACATCACAAACTTTATGAACAAAAAAAAAAAAAAAAAAGAAGAAAAAGTTACACTTTTATGAAGTTTCAAAATGTGTATATGCGCATGAACACACACGTGGATGTGTGTATGTTTTGTGCGATTGTATTAATTCGTGGCACATGGGCGCGTAGGCACGCACATTTACACATTACCCCTATTGCCCATTGTGCACTTCCCCACCCTCCTTCCGTTCAGGTGTGTGTATGCATATCACCCTTTTGCGGATTCCTTGCGTCCACTTGTGAGCGTACTAATTTTGTGCGCCTGTCCCGCTTGTCGAGATCACCTGTAACTTTTCCTTTAGTCTCCCCTTGAACCAGGGCGGGGGGGGAGGACAGGACAGGGGCAAATTTTCCACCTACACAAGCAATCACTGCATAGCTACTACATCATCAAGTTACCTCTGCGTGCTTATCGTGTCGCCTGCACAACTTTTCCCCTCCCCCTCTTCTTCGCAACGGGAAAATTGATACCTAATTCAGCCGTTATACCCAACCTCGCAAATGCGAACTTTGTACGCACCCCGCCCCCCCCAGCATTTGCACAATTCACCAATGTACAAAAAAAAAAAAAAAAATACTTCTCTTTTTTTGTCCCACCCCAGACAAGCTGCACCTCATTACAACAATAGCCCATAGTAATGAGTTCAAAATAAAAAGAGGCAAATTATTGTGGAACTCAAAATGCGCCATTAAATGTGTGTAGAATCACACATGTTAGTAGTTCTGTCAGTGTACGCATTACATGGGCAGGCATTATATAGGCACTCATTTTTGTTAGGAGGGTAAACATTACCTTTTTGCGTGAGGTAGGAAAAAAGGACAGACGGCTACAGGACAAGTGAAGGTATCTCCATCAGCTGCCGTTATTGCACCCTACCGCTACACAACGAGGAATACAATACTAAACATACACCCAAGCAATGAATTAAAACCGCGACTATATAAACTGGCGCCTTGAACTAAGTAGCCTTTCTGCATTAGGCGTATTGGTCTTTTGAACCTCTTCTTGGGGGGCATCTCCAGGGAGGCATTTGCAAGGGGAGACCCCGCATAAGACAGGGAAGCACTGAGACGGGGGGAGGGTACAGGGGACCCACCGCTCACCATGATGCTCGACAAGTTCAAAAACATAGTCAACCTAAACAACAGCGCCGCGGAAAAGGATGAAGTGAACAAAGCGGAGGCGAACGAAAACCCAGAGGCCAGCGCGCCACTACCAGGGGGGGATCCCTCTCTAGAAGCAGCAGAGGACAAAGCCTTCTTTGATGAAATGCTAGGAGCCCCACAGTACACTTATGAGCAGTTCCTCAAGGTGTTAAAGGCCCCTCAAGAGGAAAGGGGAGATACGGATGACTTGAGAAAGCACTGGGGGTATCCCCGGAGGTGGAAAGTCATTCTCTGGGATCTCCAAATACAGAATTATATGAACACCGATTTTAATGCCTTTGTCGATTTCGACTTTGGAGGCAACCGAGAGGAGTGCCGCATTCAGGTGTGCTAACACGAATGGTGTATCTGCGTGAACACTGTGCCTGTGCGCGTGTCGGATTGGAGGACGCACAGCCCCCTTTACGTCTGCCTTTCCCGCCGCTGATAGCGCGCCTCGTTTCTTGGCGCCACCCTTCCCACTGTATACACCACCCCCTTTTTTTTTTCCTCACCGCAGAGAGGCTCCAGCATGAAAATCTACGCCAAGGGGAAGACGAAAAACTGCCTGCGGACCCATGTGGTGTCCAACGTGGCAGCGGACCAAAAAAAAAACATGAATTTCAGGAGCGTGTTTGAGTACAGAGGGTCTTATCTAGACCTCGAAAATGAAAAGCTAAGAATAAAGGTGTGGGAGTATAAACAGCTCACATTAAATAAACTGGAAGGTATATACGAAGAGCCTCTTCTCTCATTTGCAGTAGGACAGGTTTATAACGAAACGACGTTGTATAAATATATGAAGGATACCCGAGTGAAGCGCTGCCGCCTCTTCTTCCAACTATACTTCCAGGAGCTATACGATTTTGAGTTATCATTTCTGAATTGGTCATTTAACGATTTGCTCTCCTACACGTACATACAAGCTAAGAGCTTAAAGTACGTCGAGGACGATCCGGATAAATTGGGGAGACGGTTTAACAAAAATGGACGTTGTCATTTCTGCCCTAAAGGAGGCACTCGTGTAAAAGTTAAAAAGTTAAATAAAAAAAAAAAAAAAAAAAACGAAAATGAAGATACAGAATATGAAATCGGCATTAATTCCTCTTTCAATAGTGCCTTGTCTGAAGACTCAGAACGAAATAATAAAAACAGCCAACAGAACAAAACGGGTGCCACATATAAAGATGATCGGCTGGCAAGAAATTTAGAAAAATTATTCTTCCGCAATGTGAGTTTGATGCAGAATGTGGAAGAGAATGAAAAGGTCTCGTACAAAAATGTTAATAATGTGGAGTTACCAAATCCGAGAGTTACCATCACGTTGACACATACGCCCAAGGGACATGAAGGACTGACCTTGGTCTCCATGGAGCAGAAGGCCATCTGCTTCCCCATCTGGGAAAACCTAGGCGAGATGTACTTCCGGGGCACCCTTCGGGATATTGACATGTCCTACTTGAACGTGAGTACCTCGTGGAGGATGCCATGTGGCTGCCCTTCTAACGCGGTAGTGCGATTGCATAATGTGATGAGACTGCTCGCCCAACAGGGAAGTACACCGCTTCAAACTTATGACACCCCTTTACACTTCTAACACCCCCCTCAGATACAAGTGGAGGACATGTCCGCGCCTAAAAGTAACCGCGAAATCGGGACGTGTCAAATTCCGCTCAAGGGAGTAGTGGACTACCCATACGTCTCGCACCAGCTGGAGGCGCCCCCCTGGTTGATTGAAGAAGCCAAGTACGAAGGATGGGAAGGTAAATTGGAGGAATGGAAATTCGGCACCGTGGATGGAAAGGTCATAATAGCAAGAGTACCTCGGTACAGACAGATGGGGGATATGTACCACGTGGACTGTCGATACGCCTACCTCATAGTTCATATATTTAATATAGACCAGATAGTAACAGTAGAGAATGTAAAAGAATTGGATACGTACGTGGAGGTCTCCTTTGACGAAACCAGCAGGAAAACACGTTTGGTAAAGAAAACCTTGTCACCAAATTATGACAGCCAAATAGCTATCCCACTACGCTTCAATAATAAAAGTCAGGTGAATTATAATAATTTTAGTAAAAAGGGACGTATATATATAGATGTTTGGGGCAAAGCAGATGACATTGTATACGTGGGAGGGGTATCCATAACCCCTTATGAAATATTTTTTAATGAAAAAAATGTGAAAAGAAAAAAAACCAAATTGGAACACATTGATTTGGAGACTAATGTCAGGACCCCATACGAGACAGTCGTCTACAGAGGCTGCAAAAAATTACTCTTCCTACATGACGATCAAAGAACCTCAAACATACATTTCAGCGTGTGGACATACCCAGATATGTTAAGCAACGATCAGCATGACAGTAACACAGTGGTGGCTCCACCTATTTTTAATACCACAAAAAATTTCCCTAGGAGATTAGCAGAAAAGTACGAGAAATTGAAGGGACTATATTTTCAAGTACTTAAAACGATTAGAGGTATTCCAGAAGGATGTACAGATATATATAAGACGAAACGTTTTTTTAATTACGAATTGATGAATCAAAGAAAGGAAAGTCATTTTTTGCCAACCCTAATTACAAATGTGAAATCTCCATACGGTGCAGAATCCACAAATGCCATATTCCATTACGTTAGATGTATACCTTTTATCCACAAAAAAGATAATATAGCTTTTACACCAGATTTCACACTACAGCTAAAAGGGGGAAATGCCTTAGACCATAGCCTACTATTGTGTAGTCTCTTTTTAGGCATCCCAGTCATATCCTTTGTATGCTTTGGAACCTTGTGGGATAACCAGAAGCATGCATGGGTGTGTACCCTAGAATATAATGAAGAGAAAAATTATGGTATTATCAAGTTTTGGGAAACCACTACAGGAAATGTATATACCTTAAAAAAAAGATTTAGTGATGTGAATAAATTAAAAACTTTAGAAATACAATTAAGTGAGTCAAAGTATAAGTCTCATTTAAGACATGGTTTTTTGCAAAAAGGGGGAATGAATACAAATGATCTGAACAAAATAAAGGAAGAGACCAAAAGGCAAATTAAAGAAGTATTTAGTAACAGAGTAACTGATATTCCAGTCGGAGGACCATCTGTTCCATACAAAACGATAGATCTCATTTTTAATAATAAAAATATTTTCCTCAATCTTCAGGATCCGAACCCTTTAAATATTTGGTATGACTACTGGAAGGTAGACTTATGGTTTCCCTTCTCTTCCATTGATTACACTATCCAGCCCTGTTTCACCATAAAGAATTATTCTCACAAAATAGAAGACATGGAATTGGATAGACTAGCTAAAGAACTTAGAGGCAACATTGAAAAAAATATTAATATTTATAGAGCTTCTCGGAACCTGCCTACTAGATGGAACCGCGATGAAACTTTAGAACTATTTTTGCAAGTCGGGTTGGAGTTACTGCACCAATTGAACACCTCAAGAAAGGAAGACGCACTGCTAGCAAAATTAAAAATTGAAGATTGGAAAAAAGCCCTCTACTATAAAGTACCACAGAGCCATAGGCTACTCGGATTTCCATACCATTTTAACACATGCAAATCCAAGTTCATTTCAGATAAACTCATTAGCACACTTGCTATTTTAGAATCCCGAGATAGATCCCTGTGTCTTTCGCTAGCTGTCTGCTTGTATAGCCTCCCTGGAGACTTTATTTCTGCTTACATCTACATTATTACTTGCGTGAAGATAACGCAGAGGGAGCTGCGAAAAATGGAAATCGTCAAGGAGAAGGTGAGCACACCACACGGGGTGGTGTGTGTAGTGGTCAAACGCAGATTGTGCTTCTAACACATGACCCCTCAAAATGGAGTGTTCCTTTTTTTTGGTCCAACCTAAAGGGTGGTTTCCACGCGTGTTATATGTAACACACATGTTATTGGGAAACAAAAAAAAAATATACATATTGCAAAAACGACTCATTCTAACACCCTTGTTGTTGTTTCCCCCGTACTTTCCCCTCCACACTTCTTAGGCGCAAAGAAAGGCAGAAATCAAGAACGCCAGAAAAAAACAAAAGGGATCCCTCGAAGATGTTGACGCGCCAAGGGTCGACGACATACTTGTGGATACGCTAGAAGAACACAACCTGGAGGAGACACTAAAGGAGGACGCCTATGGGGAGATGGACATAAAATTTGCCTCCACAAACCAGGAGGCGCCTTCGCAGGAGCACACTCAGGCGGATGACGTATATCTGGACTTGATGGGGTCCCACGCCAATGACGAAACGGCCCAGATAGTATCCACGCAGAATAAAGGGAAAGGTTCGAAAAAGAAAAAGCTAAAAAAGTCGGTTGACTTGATCAATTTGTTGCTCGCTGTGAAAAAAGAAGGGGGGAGTAAAAATGGAGAAAACCGACATGAGGTAGAGGACGCCCTGATGGGGAAGCCACAGGACAGTTTAACCCGAATGAAAGAGGGGGATTCCACCAAAAATGAAAATGAGCCTGAGACAGGTGTGTATCGATCATCAGAAGAGGAAAGAAAGGATGACCAGATGATGAAAGAAGCACTCGAGGAAGACGTCCCACTGGTGAGCCTCAAGGGGAACATCATAGCTGCTGACTTGACTGAATGGAGGATGGAAGAAAGCGTAGACACAAAGGAGTTGAAGAAAAAAAAAAAGAAGGAAAAGAAGAAAGAAAAGGAGGACAAATCGGAGCGAGACAAAAACCAACTAGAATTCGAAAAGCTAATAAAATCTAACAACTACTTTGAGAAGGAAAAAAAAAAACTGCAACAAGACATAGAAAAGCTGGAGAAGGAAAAGGAGGAATTCAAGAAACAAAAAATGCTAAGGGAGCAAAAAGAGCAACAAATGCTGCTCGAGGAAAAGATGAAACTCGAAAGGGAAAAGGAACTCTTCGAGAATGAGAAGTTAGAACGGAAAATGTCGTACATGATGAAAATTAATGAGTGGGAGAAGAAGGAGAAGGAGCGAAAGAGGGATGAGGAGGAACGCAAAAGGAAAGAGGAAGAGCGGAAAAGGAAAGAGGAAGAGCGGAAAAGGAAAGAGGAAGAGCGGAAAAGGAAAGAGGAAGAGCGGAACAGGAAAGACGAGGACCGGAAGAAGAAAAAAAAAAAAAAGGAGGAAAGCCGCAGGAGGAAGTTGGACGGGGTGGACAGTGCTGAAGGGGAGGAAGAGGCAGATCGGGAAGAAAAAAAGGAAAAGGCGCGCCAGATGGAAAGAGAGCGGGAGCGGGAGAAGGACAGAGTACGGGAGCGCGAAAAGCAAAAAGAACGGGAACGGCAAATGGAGAAAGAAATGAATAGGCACATGAGTAGCCAAATTGACAGAAAAAAGGGGCACAACAGGGAGCCGCAGCCTGCCATGCAGGAAAAGTACTCTGACACCAATGAGCTTAGCGAGCTAAGCAACTTTGACGAGGAATTGGACCTCAACCAGATGTATTCGAAGACTTCAAGTAGGGAGCCAGACGGGAGCAGTCGTGACGCATTTATGGCAGCAGTTGTGTCCGACTTTACCCCCTTGTGGGTACACACACGTGTACATTCCCATTGCATGGACACGTGCGTATTGCCCCTATGCCTATCACCTTCCCTTTTTTTTTTTTTCCCCCCCCCTCAGATTTGTATGGACAGTGCTGAAGGGGAGGAAGAGGCAGATCGGGAAGAAAAAAAGGAAAAGGCGCGCCAGATGGAAAGAGAGCGGGAGCGGGAGAAGGACAGAGTACGGGAGCGCGAAAAGCAAAAAGAACGGGAACGGCAAATGGAGAAAGAAATGAATAGGCACATGAGTAGCCAAATTGACAGAAAAAAGGGGCACAACAGGGAGCCGCAGCCTGCCATGCAGGAAAAGTACTCTGACACCAATGAGCTTAGCGAGCTAAGCAACTTTGACGAGGAATTGGACCTCAACCAGATGTATTCGAAGACTTCAAGTAGGGAGCCAGACGGGAGCAGTCGTGACGCATTTATGGCAGCAGTTGTGTCCGACTTTACCCCCTTGTGGGTACACACACGTGTACATTCCCATTGCATGGACACGTGCGTATTGCCCCTATGCCTATCACCTTCCCTTTTTTTTTTTTTCCCCCCCCCTCAGATTTGTATGACGTAAAGGAGAAGAAAAAAAAAAAAATAAGAGTGCATACGAATAGGAAGGAAACTAGTGGTAAGTAACGCGCATTCTGCATGCACTTGTATGGTGTGCCCCCACATGAATCGAACGTCTAACCGATATAAGGAGAGAACTGAATGGAGTTACCCTCATGTAGTGGACAAACGTAACACGAATGTATGAGCCGGTGCGAACTTGCTTAAGCTGACTTTACACAACACCCCGTCGATGTCCTTCCGTCCTCACGCAGCCTCCACGTCCAACCTCTCCAAAGACATGGATCAGGTGAAGAAGGAAATGGAGGATGATAACCCCAACATCGCCAGGTACCTATACGGGAAAACCAAAAACACAGATGCCGAGAAAAAAAATTATAACTACGACAAGCCGCACTATGGGAAAAGTATGAACGACATGACATATACAGAAATGAAGCAGAGTGATTTATTTAAAGGGTTTGTTGACCCTTCATCTGGAAAGGCTAAGAAAAAAATTGTGCTCGTGAAAAGGAAGGGATAGGCGCGGCCGAGGCAGTCACCAGTTATATGTATAACAGTGCGTACAAAACACAGCGCAGGGACTATGGATAGGCGTGATGTCAACCTGGTTGTTCCCCCGCGGGGGTCCCCCTTTTTTCGTAATCCCATTTTGCACCAAGACATGTTATAGCAGCATTGTTTGGGCACACCCAAGTTATTTTAGTTTTATGCTTTGGTTCCCCCCCACCGATGGTGGAATATCAGTTTGACTATGAGATGTGTCTTCTGTTTTGACTCTTGGCCCATTCCGTTCAGCGTGGACACATCATCATCAGCATGGACGTCTCCTTTTTGTTCTTACCTTTTTAAATTCGCAAATTGGAGTTCACCATACGTTTATTTTCTCCACCTCTTTTTAATTTCACCTTAACTTGTGTTGTCTCTTCATTGGTGTTACTTCTTGTTTTAGTGTACTTTTTGCACTTTATTTTTGTATTCTATTTTTTCTTTACATTTTTTTCTTTTGGCGAGTGCTGCACGTAATTAAAAAATGGTTAGTCATTTTTCCCCTTGGTGACCTTGCACAAAAGGGTAATTTTTTTTTTTTTTTGTATATTTTTTTTTTCTCTTTTCCGATTACATACTCAGGATTGGAACATGTGTTCAGTATGACGTTTCTTTGCCTTTTATTTATTCTAAGTGTGGAAGAAGCCTCTTTTTAATTTTTTTTCCTTGTTTTTTGTTGTTGCTTTTGTTGTTTCTTTTTTTTTTTTTTTGTGTGTGGACTTCATGTTGTATAACTCCCCCCCATCCAGCTTCTGAGATGCTGTCTTTTGTAAATGCCTCTTTTTTCACCTGCAGGGTCGTGTGCACATTTTAAAAATATTAGGTCTGTCTAGTGGGGAAATTTAAGCGAGTGATTTTTCACGCACTGTTTGTTGTGTGTATGCTTACAAGAATTAGGCAATTTTTTTTTTTTTTTTTATAAAATTATGTATAGTGTTAACTGTTGGACAAAAATGGAGTGAAAAATAGAGTGGACACTTTTTCTCCCTGTTGTGCTCTCATAAAGATGAGAGTTGCTCGTGCGACCTCCGTTGGTAATTTACCAGTCGCCCCTTTTATCTTTCCCCTATGGTAGATGCCTCCTCAAATGATTACGCGCCATATCCGGTTGAATTGAACCTGCACCAAAGGATAAACATATGGCATAAAAAAAAAAAACTTTCGAACCGTTGAACGCGTGGTACAGATTGTTCATGACTCCTTTGTAGTAAAAAAGGTGCAACAAACGAGGGACAACCCCGTCCTCCTACTTTGCCTTTTATAAATGACGTTTCCCTACTCACAAGAAAACGAATAGGTGAAGGGTCGTACAGGATATTGATCATCCCTGCAGTAGCTCGAGGAGGGGCGGGGGAGGGCAATCAAAAAGGGCCATTTGAAGTTGCGAAAATAAATCGTTTAGCTGTCGGGAGACTCTCCGCGGGACGAAAATGTTCCATGTGGAGGACACAACAAAGTAAAAATAAATCATGGTAACCATATGTGTACCGTACGGCTAATTCGAACAAATCGACAAACCGATTATTACATGATTGCACCATGGGCTAGCTGAACGTCTTATAAGATGCTATTGGATTGGGACCGAGCCGAATCGACGACAGTTCAAACACACCCAAACGTGCACATAATAATCTGCGCTCGAAATTTCAGAGGTGCGAAAAAGGCAAATAGTACGTTCCACACGCGGCTGAATTTTTAAATTGAGGGGAGAAAAAAAAAAAAAAAAAAAAAAAAAATGACACATAAGAGCACATTCTTAGCGACCCTAACACGTGTGACTGCTCACGCAGTTGACATCGTAGCAAGCCGAATGACAAGGAACAGGCGCTGTTGGTTTGATAATAAATAAGCAGGGAGTTGGCATTGGAGCAACCTCTCCCCCAGAAGATGCATCAGAAGAGATAGCCAACAGTGGAAAGGAAAAGCAACAGAGAGAGAAGAAACGGCAAGGGAGTAAACAGCATATAAACGCGTAACGGCCAAATGATGAACTCAGTGGCGCACAAAAAAATAAAATTAACGGATGAGGCCGTAAAGAGTTTTCAAGTGCTGAGGGCGTTCAAGTATAAGCAAGCACTGACAAAGAACATGGCCTGGAGTTACGATGGACACTTATTGTTAACGTCCAATCAGAATGACTCCATAACGCTGTATAGCTTATTAAAGGGGAATAACGTAAAGTCGTTACATAGTAAAAATTGTGGTGTGGACGTTGTACGTTTTTTAAATAACACAAATGATGTTATTGTGTGCTCGACGAAATCGAACAATTCGGAGCACAAACAGTTCCTCAGGTTTTGGGACATTAAAGAAAATAAATATATAAAGTCCCTCCCACAGATAGGAAACATTTGTGAATATAATGGCATCAACATAAGTGAAAACAAAAAGTTAATGTTAATCAATTCAGATGATGGACACATAAAACTATACTATTTTAATTGTGACTCTCCTTTAATTTTATATAAGTCTGATTTTGTAAGACCCGTCTCCTCCTTTGATCACGAAGGAAATATATTTATCGCCTCCTATGGGAAGAAAGAAATTCACTATTATGACCTATTAATGCTTGATCGTGGGGAGTACCACATTTGCAACTTAAAAAACTACATGGAAAAAGACGAATTTGTTACAAACCTTTTATTCACTCCCAATAATAAAGCTATCATTGTCTCCACGAATCAAAATAACCATTTCAAAATTGAGTCCATTAGTGGCAATTTTTTATGTTCTTATAAATATCCTCAAAAATCACCTGAACAGTTCAGCTCTTTTTATTCACCAGCTAGCCATTTGCATACAAAAAAAAAAAAAAAAATGTCTTCCAGTTCAAGTACGAATGTGTGTGACCCATTCCGCGCCACTGACAACGGTGGTTTGGAACCACGGGAGGAAAATTCCTGCAGCCCTTTGTTCCTCCCGACTATAACGCCCGACGGGCAGTACGTCATGAGCGGTAAGAAAATAACATTTGGCGAGGAGCGTATACGCAGACAAGTACATTTGCGGAATTGCAGTTGTGTGTGTGCTCACACGCGTTACCACATGTTACTTAAACGTGGTGTACTTCTCCGCGTTCCCGTGTGCCCCTTCCAAACACAGTTCCCACCACCCTTCACGTTCAGGCTGGACTGACAGCGGAATTCACATTTGGAATGAAAATGGAAACTACGTGACGAGTCTGTATGGCCACGAGGGTAAGCCAAAAGTGTGCATTTTTTTTTTTTTCCTAATTCTCTTCCTCCCCGCCCGTTCTTCCTGTGACGTGTTCGTATTCGATCCCGAGGACCGGGTATAAGGCGGAGGAATGTCTTTAATAATGCGAATAAGATTGAGAACTGGGATATCGTAGCTTCATGACCGTTCTGTCCTCTCCCCTTGTGGAAATGACATAATTATCGCACTACTAACGCTTTTCCATTTAGGCCCCCCGTATAATGTGACGTTCAACCCCAAGTGTGCCATCTTAGCCTCAAGTACGAACGCCCCACTGCGCAGGAGAACCTGTGCACATGACTTATGACTTGCTTACGTATTATCCTCCGCGTTCACAACCCCCCTCTAATACAACATTATAATGACCATTTTTATTTTTCTCTTTTTGTTTTGCAGGCTGCATGAACGTTGCGCTGTGGCAGCCATACATCTGATTTGGACGTCCCCCGAATGTGTGTCAACCCCTCCCGTTCGTACTAATTGGCAGGGGGAAACAACAATGAGCCCACAAATAAGGCAATCCCTTTTTAAATTTGTATGACCAGAACCGTATCGCGCGTAACTCCATGGTTTGAGAGGCTGTGAAGAGGTAGCTAATAAACGTTTACACAGTCATTTACATACATACACATGGCGGTATATGCCCCATCGTAACGCCCCATTAGTAGGAAAAATATGTCCCATGTGTGCCGCTTAAGACGTGAAATGTCACTCCCGTCTTTTTAAAAGCCACAGCTTTAACAACCACGACACACCGAGTTGTAATTAAAAATAATTTTGCCTTTAAAAGTTAGCAATAAAATTCTTCAAAAAAAATTATTTTAAAATAAATATCAAATTTGAATGAGACAAAAAAAAAAAAAAAAAAAAGAATTAATTTTTTTCAATCAAAGTGTATGTAACGCGGGTTTATTCGTCTGTCTTTTTTTTTTTTTTTTCTTTTTTATCTTGTGATACATCCACGAGTGTAGGCATCCCGCGGTTGCCTTCAAAATGTGCATTTGTTGACTGATTATTCGTTCGCTAATTCAAGCGTGCAATTTGGATGACCATGTTTTTTACTTTTTTTTTTTTTTTTTTTTTTTGCCCGGTAGACTTCTTTTCCTTTTAACCACCCGGGTGTGCAACACTACTCAATGTGTTACCTCTTCCTTCTGTCCCTCCGTAGGTGCTGAACGGTGGTAGCGTCCACCGACGTTGCATCGTCATTCTCGGTTTCGCGCTTGTCGTTGTCATAGTGGGGGGTCACGTCCTCCGTGGTAACTTCCTCGCCGGCAACTTCCTCACTGGTCACTCCCTCACTAGCCACTCCCTCACTGGCCACTCCCTCACTGGCCACTCCCTCACTGAGTATCTCTTCACTTTGCGGGTTTTGACTGATCACCTCCTCGGTAGGCTCCCCCGTGTAGTCGTTGATGAGCCAGTGTATGAACGCCTCTACTTTTCTGCTGCACAGAGGGTCGTCCTTCACCTGCTTCATCATGTTGGAGATTTCCTGGCTACCCACCTCAGCGCCAAAGTTGAGCATGTAATTGTCTACCTGATGGTACAACTGCTCATTGGACATGTGCACACACTCGTGAACCTTCTGAAGAAACAACTCCCGATCATTGTTAAGTAAAAAATAAGCCTCCTCATTTTCAATGCACTCCTTGTTATATTCATCTTGTAAATAAAAAATATTTCTCATGTAGAGAAATATTAAAGACATGTAATGACTTTTTGGAGTCCATTCATTTAAATGCTTGCCCAAATTTAATTTTCCCGTGTGAGAATTTATACAAGGATGAAAAACAGAGGACAAAAAATATACCTCAGGAATTGTATGCGGGTAATTTTCTCCCAATCTTATTTGTGCTTTAAATTTTCCATTCTTATAAACAGTGCTATACAAAATTAAAAATACATCCCACACTAGTAAATTATCTTCTTGTGGTAGGCAGTAAATTCCACTTGGCATTTCATTCATTAAAAAGGAATACTCTGTTAGGATTGAACACTTACCAACACTTTTGTGAATCTCGCTTAGGTAGCCATCTATCACTTCTTGCTCCAGTGTGGACTGTGCCAGGAGCTCTGGGTTTAAGGGGATAATCGTCCTTCCCAATCTTTGCTGAATTAGTACGTACTCCTTACGGTTGAAACACACGCTGTCCACTCCCTCAATGTTGTGCATGCTGTCCCCATGGACCTCTTTCATCGAATCATCCCCCTTGTGCGAATCCTGCACGTGTTCTATCGTCTCCGTGATGCCCTCGTTTCCTGCACTGTTCATATACTCCATGGTTTCCATGTTGTCCACTGTGTTTGGATTCCCCCCAGGGGTTACATCGCCCTGTGCGTGTACCCCGCCGTATCGCCCTGCCTCCTGCACATGACGACTTGCAGCGTCTGGGCGCTTGGGAAAGTAGGCGAACGTTTTTCCAACGAGTAGCCTACTCACCCCCTCTTCCTCTGGGGTCCGTTCATTGTCGTACCACATGGTCACCTATTTTTGCGTAACTCCCCCTTTCCGTGGCTATACACATGGGGGGAGGCAATCAGACGGGGAAAATGTTCACACGCGTGTTTATATATACATATATATATACATATATGTACATATGTACACACCTATGGACATACAAAGATACACCCATGTGTGTATTTTGTTTTTTTTTTTTTTTTTTTTTCCAAATTTTCAACGCATTTGTTTGCAACACCTATGCGTAACGCGTTTGGCGGAAAGGGGTAAAAAAAAAAAAAAAAAAACAAATTCCTACCCCTCATAAATAATCACCCTTTTTTTGGAGGTATGCAGGCAGAAATGTTCAAACGCAGTATAACTGATGCACGCTAGGGTGGACGGATCACACGCCTCGCAAAAGTTGTCTCCACGGTCGGAAAATGGGTCAACCAAATGGGTTAACCAAATGGGCCGCTCAAAAATTGTTGCACGAATGAAAGTACACTCCGCATGGCGCACAAGGTAACACAAGCGTGGCCAAATGTTCAGGCGAATTTTTTTTTTTTTTTTTTGTTTTTGTTATTCATCCATCCATACTTTTCCTGAAATACAGCTAAAAAGTTACCCGCGCGGGAAGGGCAACAGTACAAACGAGAATTGCTGCTTCACACCATGTAATTGGTGGCCCGAATCATTGTATGTTTCCATAGGGAGAAAAAACGTACTAAATAAAAAGCGGACACAGGGCGAACAAATTGTTGCAAGGGGGTCTTTCACACAAAATTGGAAAGTGGCACTCGAACTGGCGAATGGACGGTAACAACAATTTGAGGTAAGCGCTTAGTCGCATTTTTTTCCCCCTTTATTTCCACCCCTGAGTGTTTTTAACGCCCGTTTGGGCTTGGCTATAAAATAGGGTTTGCACAAAGCCACTTACCCATTACGCTGTCCACAATTTATACAATATGCATGTTGTACATGCGCTCAAAAAATTTAGACAGCACTTTTGTGTCATTTCCTCCCCACGGGCTTCTATCCCTTGCAGAAAAGTTCCTCTATTTTGAAAAAAAAAAAAAGTAAACGCTTCGCATTTTTCTGCCCCTTCTCACAGGCTACAGAACTTTTAAAAGAGCACAGGGGGGCACAACAACCCCAGAATGGACCCACTTAAAGAGGTAACAGATCTCCCGTATCACAATGAACACCATTATTATTTATCACGGATCATGTCTGTGTACCTTTTATTTGCCCCACCTTGTTTCGCTTACCCATTCGTTGCTGTTCAATCCCACTTCCCCTCCTTTCGCTTCTCCCTATTTCTCATTCTTTTTTGCTGTTCTTTTTTTTTTTTTTGTTTTCAACCTCTTAATTTGCTTTCATTTGCGCGAGTCATTATAAAAAAAAAAAAGCTTTATACATGCATCTCATTTTTTTTATATAAATAATATTTACATCACATTGCACGATAGTATACAATTGCATGCAACACCGATGGAGCAAAATAAAAATGAAAAAAAAAAAAAAAAAAAAAAAAGGGGAGAAAAAAAAAAAAAAATGCGTGCACGTTCGTAAAAGCTTGCCTAAGTATATAGAGTATTGTTCAGGCATGCTTCCATATGTGCGTATGCTGCATGGGGTACAGGGGTATATATATACATTCGTCCCCGAGCGTATTTACATAAATTTTGCGAATGTGCGTGCAGATGGTCCATGCACAATGATGCGACAGATATCTTCTATATCACTGCGACTGTTAATTGCTGTATTCTGTTTTGCTGCGCCGCTTTCTTGGACAAGGGGGCCTGGTCTATTTGTGCTCGTGCAAAGCTGTGTTCAAAAAGTATCTCCAACGTGTGTCGTAAAATAAATACACAACACCGTTTTTGAGTCACTTCAGAACGCGCGAAATGCAATGAACACAAACATATGTGCACATATATCTATGTATACAAACATAATATATACGCACACACTTCTTCCTTCACAATCATACACAATGCTGTTTGGCAAGACTGTTAGGTAACATTCTTTCCTCAAAACTTGTCATATGATGTTATCCCCCATGCAACTCTCTCCTCTTCTGTTTCATTCTTGCTGTTCTATCATTGGCTTGGAATATGTTCTGTTCTGCTGTGTTTTTTGCTTGCTTTTAACATTTCATAATTGATTGCTCTCTTTTTTAAATATAAAAAACGGCCACACTGGCTAAGGGTGTCACAAGTTCTTTTTCCCTTCTTTTATATGATATGCCGCTGCTATAGCTGTGCGATATGTACATTTTTTTTTTTTCCTCTGTTTTTTTTTTTTTTTCTTTTTTTTTTCCACCTTATCTGGTTTATTCAATCGTGGACTCCATTTATTTCACAGATCTGTTTTTGTCTCTTCAGTGTGCCCGTTGTGCTAAGCGTGACAATGCTTTTTTACTATCCTTTTGTTATTATTTTTTTTTTTTTTTTTCAATTTTGCTATTTTTTTTTTTTATTTTTCAATTTTGCATTTTTTTTTTTTTTTTCACATGTGTGTATATATAAATTATGTATATAGTGGCTTCATAAAAATATGTATAGAATAAAAACGCACGGGTCGCAGAACTTTAAGCTCCATGTATACGTATATGGTCCCCTGCACAAATTCCTTCTCGTATTAAAAAGTCTTTAACGTTATTTCTCTTGTCTCCCTGCAGTTGAATAATTGAACCATGTTCGCTATCCTCTATGATTGTTCCATTACAGTTGAATTCCTGCAAACGG